ATAATTATATCTGTTACTATTAGTGGATTAAGGCATATCAACATTCACGTAATCATCAAAAAGTAAACATATATTCTTAACAGTGCCAAATTATCAATGTAAGTAAGGAATATATACATGTATTGGTTTTCACCATTTTTGGTTCTCACAAGAATTACAAATTACTTGGAAAATGGTTAAATGCAAAATAAATCGTCTAATTGGCAATTTATTCGCGTCATTCATTAATGAAATGACATGTGTTATGACGATAATTTTAAAAAGTAAAAATAGAAAACAAGATGTTGTAACTTTTATCATATACTGCAGTTTATAATTTTTATTTTTATTTTAATTAGTTGCATATTTTTCTCTTTTATATCATACATGTACAGACTATTGCATCCAATTGCATTGCCCAATATAACAACAGCGTTCAATATTATAATTCAGTCGCTAAGTTTTATAAATTGTTATATACTTTATGTTCTTGACTCTCAAAATTAAAATCTTTGAACAAACTAAATTATACTTATGCAAGTTAAAATTTAATTGGCAGAAATAAACTCGTAAATAAGAATTTTAATATTACTTTTAATAAAGTCACTTCAATATAATATACTCGTTCATTGAAGGTATAGAAAATATCGTTGTTTAAAGAAAGTTATATTCTTTCAAAAAAAGTTTTTAATTACAATTTTAAATTACAGTACAGTGTACGATAAAACATGAATACGTAACATTTAACATTATGTGTGTGCGTGTGTGTTTGATAGCAATTAAAATACTAATTATTTATTTTTACGTCTGTTTATAAATTGAACATATAAAATTAAATAAAAAAATCGCGCCTACATTTAATGAACATTTAAATTTTACATGAAGGTAAATTAAACGATCCACTCGCAGGAAAATGTTCGGTTCAATTTTGTTATAAAATATGCAGTCGATTTGCAGTCCATATCTATATATATCTACGTCGCGTTACATTAATTGGAACATCAATAAAAAAAATTCTAAATAATAAATATCGCACATTATATCAAATACGCTCGTTTTTTTTTTCTTTTCTCCGCAGAATCCTACGAAAATATTACGCCTAGAGTGCCAAGAAAGCAGGTACGGCCCTGGAACGCAAGGCTTCCGGCATCTGACCATCGGAAAAAACTTCAGTATCTCTTCCGATCAGTGGAGCGCCTTGAACCTTTTGCTTTCCATACCCTTTGTCCCTCTCCCCCATCTCACACGACTCACTCCCGAGTGTCGCGGTACCCCCGTGTGAAGTTTTGGCGATACGTACCTATGATGTCGATCGGGGCTGATCCGAATTCGCGTGGCGGTTCAACCGACATACGAGACGAGCTGATTCTGCCTCTCCTCTCCTCTCCTCTCCTCCACCTTCTCTTCTCCTCCTCGCCGCGCGTACGTCTCCTCCTTCGCAACACGGTACGCGGCGCCGACCGCGTACGGCGAGATGCAAGACGCGCCGCCGTTGCCGGTGACGACGACCGTTTCTTTTTTTTTTCTTTTTCCTTCTTTTCTCCCTCTGCGCCTCACTTCACACGTCACCGCGGTCCACCGCACTCGCGTATCGCCACGATTCTCACACGGCGAGACGCGCGACGCTCTCGCTTACCGCACTCACTGCCGTCGCTCACCCATGGAGATATGGCGCGTATGTCGCATCGTGCAGCAATTAACCACGTATTCGTACAAAGTCAAATGTGCACTCGGGCTCGCCCGGCCGAACGTTTCGTTTCTTTTCCACCCGCCCGCCCTACCGTTCGTTCATTCGTTCGTTCCTCCGTCTGTCTGCCTGTCCGTCCGTCCGTCCGTCGTCCCTTGCGCTTCTGTCTTGCCGCCGAGCGTCGCGTTTCGGCCACACGTTTGTTCGCTTCTTCCGTATACCGGCGGCGCGCACGATACGCCGAATCGTGATCGCGCACACACGCGGCACGCTCCGTCACGTGTTCCGAGCGAGCTTCATCTATCTCATCGGCACGCATGCACGTACATACATAGATCCATATGCACGCATGCACGCACGCACGCACCTTTTCCACGACTCATGAGAAAGAATGCCCGAGTTCCGGACTTCCACGCGCGTAGCGACACAGCGACCGAGTTCCCCCGGATGGAGGGGAGACGATTGCCGGGCATGCGCAATGGCGTCAACGTTAGCAGACGCGCTCGTTCCCCAGATTGTGGAATTTCTTCGCGCGTGCGCGCTCAACCACGTGACTGTCTCGCAGCCAGTGCACCGTGGTGGTAATATAGAAGGATAGGAGGGTTCTTAATTAAAAATTGTTCGCCATTTTATTATTTTTCATATATATATATATATATTTTTTTTTCAATAAATCCTAATATTTGTACAAGACGAATGCGTGCTTAAAGATTTAATAAATTTTACTATATATAGTCGATATATCAATAGATTAAGTTATAAATGCTTTGAAGTGTTTAATGAATCAATCAGTAGAAGAGAATTTTACAAATTGACACATACAATTAAAATATACAATTACAATTAAAAAATGTTTTAAGCATTTGTAGCATCGCGTTGACTTTTAAGAGACGCAGTCGATACAAATGTTGTTTTATTCTTCTTAGTATTCTATGTATAACAAAAATAAAATGACACTTTATTGTGTCTGTAATCTCCTAAAAGGAAGATAGCTTTTATTTGACTAACAAAGTACATTCTCTAAGAGATACAGATAACACAGGATGCTTTCTATTTGGTGATATAAGTCGACCAAATGATTATATTTTTTGTTACTTACTGAATGTCAAGAAAGATAGTACGATGTTTGTGTCAACTAAACAGAAAGCATTTACATGGTCTGTTTTCTGTTCCTGCAATAGACTGTTTCTAGAACTCTCTTCCTCGCTTTCGACAAATATCAATCTATAAATTATATATCTATTTAAGTTCCAAAAGTGTACACTAGTTCAGTCACTGAAAATAGACCTACAATGTAACGCGATGTCTGTAGTAGAATAGTAAAAAATTAATCAAGAAATTCGTAAGAAATTAATCAATCACACTCGATTATTTTCTTTACATTCGATCGTGATTGGCTAATTTTTTCCGACTTCAGTAATTTTTTACGATCACGTATCGTTTCTTTTCATGTTTTCTGTCTTCTTTTCTCATAAAGTGAACTTATATTGTATAAGTCCTTCTACAGAGATGTAATATTAGTCAATATTTAATATTGAAAGACAGTAATTAATTTTATTAAAATAAGTAATTACTATTGTTCAGTTTTAGTATTCTACATAAATAATTCATTACTATCTTTCAATAATAAATTGTCTATACACATATATGATTTCTATATGACAGGACTATTTTTTATTTTTCATTTTAATAACTTTATTGAGTGTATAACTGTTAATATTAAATACAAATAAGAGATAGGAATAGAGTAATATTCGATATCAGCTACACAACAATAGGCGGGGCGACAGCTAAGCAGTTGATTTGAAACCGTGAATATCAGAGTATATTTTAATATTACGAAATACATGAAATATAGACAGTCTAACATAAATAATATAATTAGTTTTATCAAAACTCTATGGTACTTAGGAAAATGTAAGTAGTAAAACTTAAATCGTAAACAAATCGATCAATTACAGTAGAGAACGTAAGGCAATAACCTAAGCAGTAGCAAATAAAAAAACATTGATTTCCTTACTGTTACGTTTTACTGTTCATGGAAAATGTGCGGGAGTCCTAACGGTACTCTTATTTTGATAAAATATTCACGCTACTGAGCTGAATACTTTATGTATGTTTACAAAAAAATCTGAGAACGCTAACTTATTCTTTAATGATCATATGTAAATCTTTATTGTTTAAAAAGTATCGCGTTCGAATCGTCACAAAAAGAATTAATAGAAAATGTCAAAAAAAAATTCTAGATTTATAGTGGACGATAAAGAAAACTACGAAATAAAATATATATCGGATATTACTGAAAGAAAACTCCTACGCGACTTAATAATACTTTACATTGCTCCTTGATCTGCCGGAGCCAGTCAATGACACAAAATGTTCTTGAATGTGCACGAACGTGCTGGGATCGAATACGTTGTAAGCAGGTTTGAACCTGATCGGGTTTTTACGACGCATCGAAAAACGACTGCGATATACTCCCGAGCGGAATCATGCTTGAACAAGATCAAGCTCTTTCCGATTCTTTCGAGAAAGAAAAATGCTGTTTCCGAGTGAAATGAAATTTTGAATTCGAATGTCTCAGAGGAGGATTCAAGAGGGGGATTGTTGACAAAAATATCGCGATCTTTTTCTCTCTCGGCGAGTTTTGAAATGTTGAAAACTACATGAGGACGATCTTACGATTTTTATGCGTCGATCGCATTTCGACTTATTCCTGGACATCAGATAGAGTCAAAATGATGACATATTACATCATCAGGGGATTGATTGTGTATCTTGAATCGAGATAGAAATTCTAAAAATGAGCGAATTCATTAATATCTGTTTCTACTAATGTAGTTTAATTTTATTATCTTGATTCGAGATTAATTCTTTATTTTTTTTTTCTAATTAGAAGAATTAGAAAAAAGATGAATTTAAATTAATCTATATTGGTAGAAACGAGCATAAATGTTGACCAAGGAAATTATAAATATTCCAGTACATTTACTCTTGTAATTTTCACTTTGTTTCAAAATATATAATTCTCCTAATAAGATTTAATTTGTCATTATAGGTTAATTTATAATAATTTATAATAAGATCACAAATGACATTTATAATATCTTTGTAATATCATTATGACTTGTGCTCTACCTAAATTTTTCGCTTCTTTTTCATGTGCGAAAATATTGTATTGTACTAATATGAAGTCTATCTATTGCTAAAGCAAAAAATCAATGCTCCGTTATTGCGCAACAATCTTTTAGAAAGTTTTTATCGCTCTAATTACCCGCTAATTATCATTCAGCTCGCGGCTAATTTCAATCGGTACATCATAATGTCGGACTTCATAAAGCGTTACATTTCTGATCATCAATGTATAAAGAGCGAGCTATTCGAATGCGTTTTAGTAACGCTGAAAAGCTGCTAAGTGAAATCTAAATATCGAAGACAACTCGTATTCGCGAGTATATGCTCGAAATTGATCCTGTCATCCCAGAATGCGGCTGTAAAGATATAGGCGCGGAGAAGAGAGACGGAGGAGAGGAGAGCCACGGAGATGCGATCGACGGGTAAAGGAGGGGGGAAAGAAGGGAGGGATGGGGATCTGCTGCCCGGGCACCTCAACCTTGAGCGTGCGGACGGGGAAAAAATCGCGACGCCTCTGCGCAAAAATTAATGAGAGCGATACAACATGGCGGCCTCGCCCGCTGTTGATGTTTGTTCCCTTCACCCCCTCCCCCCCCCTCGCCCCTCCACTTTTCTGTGCGGGCTCCATTTCGCCGGGTATCGTTTTGGGCGCGGTGTCATGCCGTCCGGATGAGTGACTGGAGGGTGGAAGGACGAAGGGAGAAAAAGAGGGCAAAAGGGAGACAGAGAGAGAAAGGGACAATAGGTCATCCTTCGAGATCCCAGCAACCCCCTGTCCAGGCCTGTTGGCGCAGGTCGGGTGTCGCCAGCTATGGGGCTTATAGGAAACACCCCAATATCGGACTTCACCGGATGCGGCATCTAGACGCTTTGACAGTCGTCTAAACAAACCCCCGCCTCCGTGAATCCCGCTCCACCTGTCTACCGTGTTGCGTGCGGCGTCTCGTCGTGACCAATCGGAATTCAGGAGTGAAGCGCGCGGTTGCGGCTCACTTCAAGTTGGATCGCCTCTATCGAACGCGACGCACAGATCTCGCGAGATTAATATATATTTTTTAAATCTTTTCTCAACGAGGAAATTAAGTATGATTCAATATGTCATGAGACCATTTCTAGTTAAAAAAAAAAAATATTTCTAAAAAAATAATTATGTTCTCTTGAAAATTTTTTTTTAGTGAATCTCACTCTGAAATCTTATAGAAATTAATACTAATACCGGCCAATTAATACTAATTTTGAGTAATAAATAAAATAAGTAATTAATTGATCAGTACTACATTTCTATAAAAAAAAGGGTGAAACCTCACTCTTAAAGATTGAAAATTGAGCCATTCTTTTTCAAGGCTCAATTTTCATTCTTTAAAGTAAGATTTCATTCCAAAAAATTTAGAGAGTTTATAATTTACTTTTTAACGATCCTAAAAATTTTATATCTCTGAAAATTTAAAATATTTCCTTAAAGATTAAGAAAAATTAATTGTTGATACTGAAAGTACCTTACCCAAAAAAAATGTTAAATTCTAAAAATGTAAAAATAAAATAATAAATAGATAAATTGATTTTTCTTCCAA